TTGGAAAAAACATTGTGACTGGACATAGTGTTTACGCATTGGTGTGTACTCTTATAAAAAGTGGATTTGTGAGAGTAGAATATATTGATATTTTCAACTTTGGTAAGGAAGACATGGAAAGCAGTCTGAAATAGCTTATAGTACTATTAAATCTCTCATACAACTTTGACTGTTCCTTAGTCTCCTCTTGCCTGATAATATACTTTTCTCAGAACAGCCTTAATCTGGAGTATGCTAGTAGAAATCGGTGTGTGTAGAAGATGCTGGCTTTGATATATACCTCAGTTTCTTTAAAGAGCTGTGGTGGTGCATACCTCCTAAAATACTAGAGTTTTCTTCTAAAAGGATGTTAAGCATGAGCTGCTTTGATTCATGTTCTATGCCGTCTGCTGACAACATTAATTATATACATGAAAATGTGAATGTTGGTCATCTTTCTAAAATATGGAAAAATTAAAATGAGTCTGGATTTTTTATTTATATGTATTTCATTTACTCATAAAACAATACTGCATATTATTAGTCATTCAATATTGTGCAACATTATGAAATCAGCTTTTTCAATATTGCCTCACTGTTTCATAATAAATTCAGTACATTATGTATTTATTGCATTATGATTTATTATATTTATTACATTATAGCCTTGTTACCAGAAATGTTGCACAGAAAGCAAAAAATGCTACACAGAAAAAAAATCTTGTTAATAGTGTTAAGCTCACCATATGTCTCTGTTTAAGTTTTCTTCAGCTCCAGAGGTAAAACTGCATGGAGTTGTTAAAGCATTTCTTATACAGAGTTCAGAATTTAAATAGTAACAACTTGTTTAGTGTTAGCATTACAAGCAGGTGGCTTGATCCTTTAACCTACAGTATTGGTATGCATATGAAATAGGTGCAAGTGCAAGGACTGATACCCTTGAAGCAGTATTGCAGCAGGGGTTTCAACTTGAGTGTCACCTGAAGCAGCGGTTGCACAGGCATAATGGTCAGCCAGTGGTCCCAGTGCACTGCTGATAACATCTGCCACCAGTACACCAGCCTTTCCTAGTGGGTGCTCTTCAAGTTAAACTACAGTTCCCATGAACTCCGGCCGCAATGTCTGATGGCTCGAGATTATAGGAGTTACAGTGCAAAGCATCAGAAAGGCACCAGGTTGGCCAAAACAACAATAAATTACATACAATGGTAACTGTAGGCAGTGTGCTTACTAGCTTGGGAGGCTCTTTATAGCATAGAGAATGCGTACAACAATGGTTATTCCAATATCAGTTTCCCCCTACATTGGCTGTAAAAAAGCCTTTCCCTGGAGGCCTATATTCACTCGGGGACAAGGTGCTTGGGGCTGCATGCCAGCGGGGCTGGAGCCAAAAGTGGGTGGACTCAGCCCACACCCTTGCACACCTGTATAGTCTTTCTCTCAAACACATCTATGTAGCACCATCACCATTAAATATTTTTCCCTAGTGCAAATAATGTAGAATCTGGAGGACTGATAAGGGTTCAGGAGGAGGAGTAGGGCATTAAATCTTGGGCCTCTTCTGGAATTTGCATTACCAAAAAAAGAGCCATGGCTTTGAGTCTTATTTTAGCAATGCAAATTGCAGGGGAATAATTTGGATCCAAATTGTGCCCACAGTGCTTGTAGTCTATTGCTTTTCTGTACCGGTTTGGGAGGAAAAGAACCCCCTCCCTCTGCAAACAATATAGAATATATGGAGGGAGAGGCCTTGGCCATCTGATGGGAAGCCAGTGGGGGCTGCGCCTGTCCAGTAAGCTAGAGGTGCCCCCTCCCTGCCCTGTTACATAGAGGCTCAGTTCACCACATGTACAGTAGCTATTCATAGTTAAGTTCTGATGTTGACAGAACCGCTTCAAATACTTGAGATTCCTAATTGTGGTGACAATTTTAATGCTCAGCTCCTAGGTGTTGAAAGGAAATATTAATTCAGTGGAGTTTTTCCATTGGTGTCTTTACGTTAGTGAAAAAGGCCTTAATACATACAGCACAGGACATCTGGTTTTTATCAGTCTCCATCTAGTGAAGCCTTCCACACCATATCCTCATGGTTCTGGAGGATCCCCCAACCACTTGTTTTCAAAGGGCTGTGCCAGAGAGGGGTCTGTGTGTGTCATTGTGTGGAAGTACTTTCTGCTAGCCCACATTTGCAACTGACTATAACTCAGTATTTCCGTTACACGTAAACTGGCTATAATTATACTTTTAATGAAAGGACTGTTCTAGATCAGAGGTTTCTAGCTTTTCGAACTGCCTGTTGTATTGGGATAGGCATGAATTTGTAACATCAACTTCTGCTAACCCATATCTCTGTTCATATTAGCCTTTGTCAGAACAATACAGCTTCTAGCATCTATTCATTTATTTAATTGGGGCTGTCATCTGAACAATCTGTATTACTTCTGCAGAAGTTTGAATGTGGGCAAAAATAGTTTCAAAGGAAAAAGCTTATTTTCTTTTCAGAAGGGGGTGTCACTTCTCTTAAAATGGGAGGGAAGTCTTTTCTAAGACAGCATGCTATCTCCAGCAACACTACCCGCTCATAGCACCCACATCCTCCAATACTGCACCATGTACTTGGGGAAAGAGAAGATGTTGGTGTGCGGTTGGTTCACAAGGATGGAAAGGGACAGATCTCCAGCCTTTCCACCTGCATTTATTTTCAGCCAGCCTAAAGATTCTTTGTAGCTATATAAATTAATCAACCAGATATTGCAGGGCTGCTTTATACAATTTGGTTTCTGTTTTGTCTCCTGTTTGTGGCCCTTAGAAGGCAAAGGAGATGGATCACAAATCACTCTGGAAGAAATGTTCCCAGCAATGCAGATACCAGATTTTGCTGAGGGAAGTGATTAGAAGTGGGTGATTGGGTAGATCCCTAAGGACAGACTTTTCTCAAATACTCCAAAAGAAGATCATTAGGATATCCGGTCAATTCTACCAGGGTCATTTTCTTTGCTTCCTTAGTACATACCTGGCCATAATAGATGTAATTTTAGCACTTAGAGGAATATATCAAAATAACTTGTTAGAAATAAGCTTCAGCAGCTACAAAAGCCTGTCTGTCTTCAAAAGACAACATAGTTTCATTTTAACTTGTGACTCTGATGTTTTGAATATTGTCTATGTTACTTGTGCTCTGGTTTTTGAGAAGTTCCGGTTTGTTTTCTACATACTGGATATCCTACAGATCAAATTATATATCTCAAAATTAGCATTTTAACTTTCAGAATTACTTGACTACATCATCCACCCACCCCCACCCACGTACACACTAAGAAATATATCTTTTGAATGCTAAGCTATCACGTGCTAAAAAGTTAGATTAAAAAAGGGAAACCCAAATGTTAATGTAGATCAGAACAGTGAGTGAACACAGTTGATAAGAAGAATTTGGGCTTTTCTACCCATGATCTCAACATTTATTTATTATTTTCGAATTATTCTTTTATAGTCAGGGTCCCTGCACCTTTGTTTCAGCAAGTGTCCCTGTTCAGCCAGGTGGGGAGAGCAAATGGCTTCCCAGGGGTTCAGGGCTGTAAAGGAAAGATTTAGGACTCCAGCCCTAGGGGGTCACTATGTAATATTGCTTGTGACAGTAGCTGTTGTTTTCTCTGTTCTGAAGATAGAGCTACATTCTGCTCATATGTTCCCATCTCTCTGAACTTCTTTGGATTGGCTAAGAAGTGATGGGTCTTTCTAAAAAAGGGGGGGGTATATTTTTTTATTCCTGCTCTCCCCCCCCCCACGGAAAGTCCTCATATCTCTCCTGAAAGAATAGTCCTTGAAGTTTGCAGGAATAGTTTGAGTGCAGATACCTCAGTCACATTGTATTTTATTTATACAATAATTATTACATATTTTATTATTATTACATTCCATTTATATTACGTTTTTTCCTGCAAAGAACCCAAGTTGGCTTACATAATCAACTCTGCTCCATCTTATCCTCACAACAGCCCTGTAAGGAAGGTTAGGCTGGGAGTCCATGACATGGCCCAAAATCATCCAGTGAACTTCATGGTTGAGTGGAGACTAGAACCTGTATTTCCCAAGTCTCTGTACAGCAGTAACAGTTATGGTACACAGATTCTCCTCCCCAAATCTAGTTGAACAGCCTTTACCTTCCAGCCTGGTGATATATACTGTTTGTGCTGAAAGTTAGGCATACAGCCCTTTCTCACAGGCCCTTGAATCTTGTGGTTGCCCCCATAACTGGTCTTTTAAAATTGGTCCTAAGACACCATATTTTTTTGTAACAGCATAGGGGTAAATCTCCAGGCCCATGGTTGGTGTCACTGAATATTTTGTGACCTGAAAGAATATCTTAGAATACTGAGAAGAGCTCTTGCGTTCAGAACGCCTGGGGGTACCTCACCAGCACTGGATCACATTCTATCAGGGAGTGGGGCAGGGACATGAATGCGGATTGTATTGAAGAACAAGATACAAATCTTGAAAATAATTTTAGAAGAATAACCTCTCAAGGCCCTTTGTGAGAAGTGCTCTATTTTGTTTCCTGCCCTTTGGTTACAATATCAAAGCAATTCGCATGGTCAGGAGTTACAAAATACTTTTTCTCCAAAGTTTGGGAAAGGCAAGTGTAATTGCCCTTGGATGGAACTAGTTTTGTCTTTTTACCCCCATGGTTTGTTATACCAAGTGCTGGGAAACAACAGTGGAGATTACTTCCCATAGGCATCTGGTTGACCACTGTAGGAAATGGGATGCTGAGCCTTGCTCTGAACTAGGAAGTTTTAACATGAATAAAGTAAAGAAGCAGGGGTGGCTGACCGTTAGTCATGGCCTTTGGGCTGATGGTGAGATAGGATCAAAATAATTTTCATATAATTGGGAATACTTGTGTTCATGGGACTACTTGCAAATCACAGTTTCGCTACTGACTATGAATGTGGATTGCTGTCTCATTAGGGTACCTATTGTGTATACTTATTATTTGTTTTTTTTCCCCTTTTAAACAGAAAGATGCCAGCCAGCCTGCTGAATGCAAACAACAATAAGGAAATACCACTCCTGAGTGATATTTGAACAACCTGTAACAAATATTTGGATACCTGGCCTGCAGTTCAGGATATTCCATTGCTGCAGCACAATCTTATTAACAATGCTTAAAACTAAATTGTTTTCAAATGCATGATTTTCACTAACTTCCTTTTTTTTTTTTTTTTTTTTTGGCTTAACTTGTACAGTGGCAACTTAATGCATTTGAGAAATATGAGGTTCAGTTAAAGCACACTCTACGGCCTTTGGTACATGGTAGTTCAACTGTCTCAGTAGGCTTTCCCATTTAAATTTTCAAGGGAAAAAAACCAATTTTCCCTTCTGAAAAACTCGCCCTCAGTACAAAGTAATTTTTGCCTAAATATAAGAGTACATTAAATTAATAAAATACAGTTAACATGAAGCAATATGATTTCTGCTAGCTTTTTCCCTTTAAAATATGTTTCCTGCAAGCTTCCAATCAAACTAGTGCTACAGAGCCACTTAAACATTGCCATCTCCAGTAAAGGTAATTTGAATGCGAAGTAACATTTCCTTTATCTTTTTTGAGAGGAGGTGGTGGTTGAGAAATATGTAGTTGTTCACTTTATTTATTCATGTTTGTAAGTACTTTGATGAACTAGTGCTTTTAATAGTTTTAAATATACTTGAAAAATATTTTCCTGTTTATAAAATATGGGTACTTGTACATGGAATACTCATACTCTGCTCACAGAATGATTGCTAATCAAACTTTTCAAGACAATGAACTTTGGGAAGAAAAGGGGAGGTCCTGAGACGTATCTCCTGGTTTGAGTAAAGTGAGTTGCAGCACTAAAATGTATCACTGGCCTGGCTTGTTCAGATGATCCTCCCGGACAGATCTGGGGCATTGAGGATAAGGTGCAGGTTCGGTGTGGTTTACACTTGACCTCCAAACCAAAATTAGAAACTGTATTTGAATTCTGGTTTGGGGGTAGAGTGCAAACTATAGCTTAACCAGTAAGACATTGCAGCAAACTATGGTTTGCACTAAGCAAGAAACAAAGCAATGCTGCACCGCACACAAGGAGTGTTTTGGATATCTTGGAGGATTGCCTGAACTGGACCTGTGAGAAACGTTTAATTGGGAAAATATAAATTGAATTTTAAGCAAGTGTGTAGTTTACATTTTATTTACAGTACTCCGATCCCTCTGTGCCACACTCCAATGGTTTCTCAAAATCCAATCTCTTTCAGAAGATCTGTTCTGAATTACAGTTCACATTTCTCATGCGTACTCCAGGCAACAGCTCACAAGCAACTGTATGAATGCTGTTACCAGGCATGTAGAGAGTGCTCCAGCCTTACCTTACACATTTGTAACTTAATACGGTGTTTTCAATTTGTACAGAATAGTTAGAATATTCTATTAAAGTTGTGAAACATGAAGCATATTGTCCAGACACTTTTCTCTAATATAGCATGCAACTTTTCTCTCTTGAATGTGGGTGTGTGGTGTGTGTGTGTATGGAGTGGGGGCAGCAGTGCACATGAACCCTGTTCATTTATTTTGCCACTTGGTATTTTATGTTCCCTAGTACTATAAAGCATTTGCTCTGATTGCAGGATCCAGGTGTTTAGAGACCGTAGAATCTCTGCAAGAAACATCTGCGAAATGGGTTACAGAGTGCAGCAAAAATCATAATCCCATAGGTCAATTAGGGCAAAAAGAATCCAGAATTCCCAGTAGGGTGGTACTTACTAGCTCTAATGTGATGTCATAAAATAGTGAGCAAATGTTCACATTATTCTGACAACTTCAGATTGTATGTTAAAGCTAGAATGGGAGCAGAGAAGAAGAAGTTAGGGCATGATGTTAAAGCCCTAAGTTAGTTTAAAGACTGTCAGGAGATATTTATGGGTGGGAGAGGAACAACTTTTTTTGGGTTCAGCCCTGTGCTTGTGGCATGCTGGGAGCTGTAGAACTCTTTCTGTCTTGCAAGCACAAGATTGCAAAACTAACTGAATAAAATGGGAGGTTGATCCCAAAGAATATAAGCCAGGCTGGAATTCTTTGTATTGAATCCTTAAGAGTTATAATACTTGCATAATTTGCAGTGGTATCAGGATATTTTCATATTAATCAAAAATGAAAATTAAATATTTGCAGTAGTTCAGTTTCTCAGTTTTTTATACCAGATTTGTTTGAAGATTGGACTGTTTTAGCACCTTCATGTGGCTTGTTCATAACCATTATTTATATCCTGTCTTTCAGGAAACACATGCTTCCAAGACTGTTTTCAAGTAACATCAAAATAAAAACAGTATCAGTGTATTGAGTCATCAGGCATCCTTCCCATGAGGCATCTGGTAGTTGATAGCTCCATGAAGGAGAAGGGAGAGTTCAGCTGGAACAGGAGCAAAATATCTGTTGTCCAGTTCTGCTTCCCTTGCTCCTGGAATTTCCCACAGGGGGAGTTGATGGTAGATGGCCAGGGCGGGAGGGGAAGCTAGCTGGAGTGTCTTCCCTGATGCCTTCCTTATCTGTATTCCTGGAATAGGGGATAACCTGGTTGGATTTTTGCACTTCTTACTGCTGTATGTGCTCACCAACACCCTGATGCTTTTCCTTTGCAGCATCCCAGCCATCTTCATACATGAACAGCCAGGAAAACATGAACTTCTGACACAAAATCTAACCCTTCGGCTATGGTCAGGCTAAGAACCCCTGTTCAATATTGATAAAGTTAATGCTGAAATCCAGCCTGCTTTTCTTCTGACTAAATACTTGCAGGCGTGCAGCAAGTGCCAAATATGCATCAACAGCCCTCTTGAAGCTGCAGAGTGTTGTCTTCTGTTTCCTCTTTAATGCAGTGTACCTTTCACACTGCAAAAGACATCTCGTTAGTTTCCTTTGCGTTATTCAGACATCTTCCATACACATGTGGATGAGCAAGACTGCATGTAACCATAGCTTTGTTGCTTGCTCCCTTTGCCTCTGCCCTCTTCACCACCAGCAGAGCTGCTTATTAACAGGGCACCCTGTTTTGCATGACTTCATCTTGATCTCATTTCATTAGTTACCTAAGAACAATCCTATGCCTGCTTGACCCGGCAGCTTCCAGCTGGAAATCGTAGGACTTCTTCCTGACAAAACATGCATAGGATTGTTCCCTCCAGATCTAAGCCTGGTGCCCAATTAGCAACTAATAGGACCAGTCATGAATATTGACATTCCTTGGATTATTATAAGAACACAGTGAATGAAATGTTACTGCAATGAGGGAGTTCATATATGCAGGCAAATTGGAGTTCTGTATACACTTCCTAAAGCCTCCCATTAGAATTAGTCCCAAATACCTTATTCTGAACAGAACAGCTTATATATGAGGGGTCTTCAAAAAGTTTCTTCATTTTTATAAATTTATTTTATATATTTTTTGCTGATGGCATTAAAAAGTTGATACGACGCTGGGAAAAATGCATTGCAAAGGAAGGTGACTATGTAGAAAAGTGATGTAATTTGTTTTTGAAATGCTTAATAAAGTATGGAAACTTTTTGAAGACCCCTTGTACAGTCACTATCCATTTCATTTTATAAGTTAATATTTTTTAAAAGCGGTAGGTTTTTTCCTGTGAGGCTGGAAAATGGGGAGGGAACTGATGGGGTGGTGGAGGGATGGGTAGGTGGAAGGAACAAAGGTTTTGAAGGAACAAGAAGTTTCACTCAAAACAGCAGCAGGTGGTGGCCGCAGCTGCTGCTGTTCCTGTTCCTCCTCCGGTCATAAAAGTGGTGATTATTTCCAGTGTGCTGCCTAGTGGTTAAGCGGGCTGGACTGCGATTTGAGAAATCAGAGTTCCTGTTCCCACTTTCCTATGAAGCTCTCTGGGTGGCCTTGAGCCAGTCATGGACTTTCAGCTGAACCTACCATGCAAGGATGTTGTGAGTATACAGTAGAGAGGAGAATGATCATCTCTGTTGCCTTGAGTTCTTTGCAAGAGGGGAAAAAAGGGGAGACATAAACGTAATATTTTTACCAAAACATGTCTAAGTGCAGCTTCCAAGGCATTTGATCTCTTACTTTGTGTAAGGGTGCTGAAAATAAAGTCATTATTATTTTTTCTTTGTGTTTTAAAGCATCCTGCAAATTAGTAGTAGCACTTAAAAATAGCTGAGAATGCCTAATAATTCTGTCAACAATGGCTTGTTTACCTTTATTTCAAGGTAAAGCTAGCAACCTCCTCCAAGTAACATTTTGGCTCCTCACAGCATGACTATGGCTCATAGGTCAACAAGGAGCCCAACCCTGTCCTGGAAGCTTTTGTTTGCCTCCCAAGACTACAAGGGTCGCTTGTTCCCTGTGTTGCTGAAGTCATCGCTTATGGATATGTCAGCCCCATAGAAGGACATAGAAGAAAGGCCTTTCACATCAGCGCATCGTACTGGAATATTTTTTCATAAATGGTTCATCCCTAGTTGCATTCCCGTCCATATGAGCGTCTCCTAACTGCCAAGTGAGAGAGTCCATAAATGAGGCACTGTTTGCTCCTCTTTCCTAGACCTGGTACATGCTGTGGTCTGTGTATGCCTAGTTTGTGACGTTTACACAGAAAAAATGGCAAATCTGTAACAGCATTAGGATATGAACAGCCCCACTGAGAGCACATTTTAGCATGCATTGCTGTGGACTACTGACATTGGCTGGAAGGCCATAGGATTCTTTGGAGTCCCAGCTTTAAGACACTGATCTCAGAGCTGAAACTCTGAAAGCCAAACTCCCACCCTGCCCCCTTGCAACTGACTTGGAAAGTGCCATGTTAGCTGCCCCATGAAGTTTTGATTGGGCCTCAAAGGGGGCAAAGAAGGAAAGTGTGGGGATACATTTATGTTGATTCCACTTGGTGCCCCAGCCTCCCTCCTGCTCGTGGGCACTAGATTTGGCAGTATGCAGGGTGTGAGGAGTGGCAGCAGCTGCCAGTGCTGCCTTGTTTCACCCTTGCTGTCCATCCTTGCCACTGGATCCTCCTCCGCCTCCCACCTCAGGGGCTGATGTGCCTCTCATGACAAAAGCATTAGGCCCCAACCTGCTGGGTGTGTGCTCTTCAGTCAGTTGGTTTTTGCTGTACTGTAAATTGTTCTTTGGTGAGAGTGGAATTTTATTGTTGTTTTCACTAGTGTTTGGTTTATTAATCTTGTAAGCCTTTAAGGGGAAGGGCTAAGAATGTAAATCAGTGATCAACAACTGTAGAGCACAAGCAAATAGGGATAGCTGTTACCATCACGGTTCAGATGCTCAAACTTTGAGGTCATAATACTGCCATGCCCAGAGTGCCACTGATGGTCAAGTTCCCATGTCCCCCCAACCCCCATCCTCCCCAGCCACCAATTGGTGGCTTTCTGGCTTTCACACAGTGCTTTAAAAAGGCAGAAATGCCTCTCCTAAGGCTAAATTACTGACAAGAAGAGCTTTAAGCTAAAAGGTCCTGTGCTTTGGGCTGCCCCTTTCCTCTGGCTTAGCCCATCACTTGAATGTGCCCTTATTATATTTATGTTCCTGCTTTTTCCCCTCAAGGAACTCAAGGTGGCTTAAATAATTCTTCCCTTAATTTTACCCTCACAACAACCCTGTGAGGTGGGTTGGGCTGAGTGTGATTGACCCAAAGTTACCCAGTGAACTCCATTGCTGAGTGGGGACTACAACCCAGATCGCCTTAGTCCCAGTCCCCCATGCTTAGCCCACAATTAAATTTGGGATTCCTTGTCCATAATATGGTCTCAAGGCCAATGATGTCTCTGAGGCTCAATCTGGTTATGATTATGGCAGCAGCTTGGCTGGGCTGCAGGGACCTTCAGCACATCAAATGAGCCAAGGAGGGTCTGTGCTTGAGGGAACGGGTGCACCATTTCTCAAATGGAATGCCAGGAGGACTTTGGACCAGGACTTGGGACCAAAGGAGGCCCTCCTGTGGCTGCCCAGATGATGTCGGAGCACAACTCTTATTGGTCCTGCTCAGCATAAGCAATGGTGAGGATGCCTTCCAGAGGGCCACAAGTTGCCCTTAGCTGCTGCTGCTGCTGCTCTTACTATAAAATGCCAGTTGGCATGCCCTGTGGGTGCACCTGAAGATGGTGTTTGCATCCCAGCTGATGTGTTGAAAGATGGAACCGTTTGAGTTTTGCCCAAAACAGGGCTAGGAGTCCAGGTTTAAAAGTAACAGAGGCATGTAGATGAGTGGGGAATCCTCCTGCAGGTCGTTCTTCCCAGCTGCCTCTTCCCAGCCCTGCCTTTGCTGCTGGAAGCAACCTTGGCCAGGAAAAAAAACACTTCGAGAAAGGGACTACAGAGAGGTAAGCCAGAGAAAAGGAGAAAGTACTGCTTCCTTCCCCTCTGTGTCCTTTTCACCTTGAATGGGATCCCATTCACAGCTCCTGGGGCTTTCTATAGCCC